GCCAATGGGAATCTGCTATATGACTCAGGGAACTTACACAGGGACTCTGTGACAACCTGGGGCTGGGATGGGTGGGAGGTGGGAAGGAGGTTCCAGACGGAGAGGACATATGTGTAGCTATGGCTGATGCGTGCTGCTGCATGGCAGAAACCAACACAATATTGTAAAGCAATCATCCTTCAACTGGGCTTCCCCACTGGCTCTGACAGCAAAGAATCTGCCTGCAGCATGGGAGACCTGGATTTAATCCCTGGGTCAGGAAGGTCCCCTGGAGAAGGGAATGGCTCCCCACTCTAATATTCTTGCCTAGAGAATACCATGGACAGAGGAGCCTGGTGAGCAACAGTCCATCGGGTCACAAAGAGTCAAACACGACTGAATGAGTAACACTAACACTATCCTTCAATTAAAAATAAAAACTTTTGAAAAAGTCTATTACTTTTTTTGAAGAAATATGATAAATATTACCACTACTATTATATAGCTGTTCTGGAAACATTAGATGTTATAACTGGATGAGAGGACTAACTAAGGCATAAATATAGAAAACAACCACTAGTTAAAAATATAGTGGAAGTTAAGATCATTTATGGATAACAAGAAATAAGAACTATGACTAGCAATAAAATTATGAAAGTTGTAGAATTTATGGGAACAAATATTAAAGCTCTACTGAGTTGAAAAAGACTATAATACCATGGAAAGATACTTTTTTCTTCTAAGGAAAAAAAATCAATATTGGAAAAATATTCACTATCTAAAAACAAACATAAATAGTCATTCATTAAAAGCAATTAAAATAAAAATCCCAACATGCTTCCCTGGGGTAATCTCTGGAAACATTCTAAAGTTCATTTGAAAGGATAAATATCTGTGTAGGTACCAAGTCTGATTTATATATCACTTTAATTTTGAAAATTAACAGAGTGTCTAATACAAGGTAAGTGCTTGAAAAAATGAGAAACACTGAAAAGGGAAATTAGGAGGAGGAACTTCCCATCCAACATCAAAACTGAAAGTGACAGTATGATAAGGACAGAGACCATTGGGATAACAAGTAATTCAGAAACAGAAAAAGCATATAGAAATTAAGTACATATCAAAGGTGGCCATTCAAATACTTAAGGGAAAAATGAACTCGTCAAGTATTAGTCATTTGGAAAACAACAATCACACTTAACTTTACACAGAAACTAAGTTACTGATGGATCAAAAAGTTAAAATATTAGTGTAGAAGGCAACAAAATATGTAATTTATGATCTAAGAGTTGAGAAGGTCATTCTGAACATGAAACATGATTTTTCCGAACCATGGTTTTTCTAATCTCTTCACTGAAAAGTCCTAGAAACAATAGCCAATGTAAAAGCAATGGATACTTCCTGAAGCCCAGATTAAATATCATTTCCCATTAAAAAACACCAGATGTCCTTGGAGAAACAGTTGATTCCCCGTATGGGGCAGGAAATACACAAGTTAAGTCCAGAACATTTCATCTAACAGGGAGAAAGGAAGCTATCAAAGACAAATTAAGATCACATCCAGATTGAACAGGCCTTCACTGGCCAAAGATGGGACAATCTGAACATTAAGAAGGATATAGTATCTGCAATGGATTGAAATATCTCAAATATGCTTATGCTCACATGTTCATTTACAACGATACTAAAATCAAAAACCAAATTTAAAAAAAAACACCTCATCTCATAGTCACCTTTGTGCAGTTAGTAAACAACTCATTATTTTGAAAATTGGTAAACAAGAGAAATATTCAATAATCCAGCCTTTTCTCTAGAAACTTTTAACTATTCCTCAGAGAAATCAGACAATTGATAAAAAGGAAACATTACATTTTATAAACAAAATAATGTATCTAGGCCATAATTTTCAATGGCTGTTTACATCACAAAAAGAGACACTAGATAGTACCTATTGCCTGATGAAGTACACAATGTCATTTTTAAAACATGGTTCATAAAAATCCAACTGGAATCTTATCAAACATCTGGACCTAACTACTAACATACAGAAAATTCAAAGTCAGAGTAACATGCTACACAATAGCAGCAAAATCAGACTATGATGCTTTACAGGACAAATGACCTGCTTTTATCAACAAAAAACTGTGAGGAGAAAAATTGAGATGGAGGGTAATCTACAGATTAAAAAAGACACAACAGCCTTTTCAACCTCAGTTAGTGTTTGAATCTTGGATTCCAGCTCAGACTCTAAATAAACAGAAGACAATTGAAGAAATGTAAACACTGACTGCCTATTTGAAGAACTCATAAAATTGAAGTAATTCATGTTATTTTTCTGCAGGGTTATAAATTATGGCTAAAGAGTAGTGTCCTAATTTTTTAGAGATACATGCCTGCAGATTAAAAAGAAATTACTAACGTGTGATGTAAGGGTGAGTAGTGCATTTCACAATAATTTATTGGTGAAAGATCTAATTTTAGTTCTAAATCTGAATGCATCAAGGAAGAGTTTTCATTAATATTTTTGATCAGATATTAAAGAAATCAGAGCATAGTTATTTAGGGACAACAGCTACTACATGTATTTTTCCACCTGGAATTTAAACTAAAAATGAACAGTCATCCCTTGGTATCCATTGGGGATTGACTCCAGGTTCCCCTCAGATCTGCAGATGCTTAAGTCCTTTAAATATAATGGTGAAGTATCTGCATATAGCTTAAGAATATCTTCCTGTATACTTTAAATAATTTCTAGAGTACCTGTAATACCTAATACAATGTAAATGCTATGTAAACAGCTGTAAATGCTATATAAATAGTTGCCAGCACGTGGGCAAAGTTTTGCTTTTTGAACTTTCTGGAATTTTGGGAGAATATTTTTAATTCCTGTTAGGTGGAACCTTCAAGTGCAGATATGAAGTTGTTGTTCAGTTGCTACGTCAATGTTCAACTTTTTTGCAACCCTATGGACAATAGCCCACCAAGCTCCTCGGTCCATGGGATTTCCCAGTTAAGAATTCTGGAGTGGGTTGCTATTACCTACTCCAGGGGATCTTCCTGACCCAAGGATTGAACTCGCATCCTCTACATTGCAGGCAGATTCTTTACCACTGAGCCACCTGGGAAGCCCTGAAGATATGAAAGGTCAACTGTAATAAAAGCCTTTACTCTCCTCATGTCCTTATGTTCTTGATATCCTAAGCTTCTCACAGTTCCCTGGGCATAAATAGTTCCTTCTATAATTCCCTGCACTTGCTATTATGAATAAATTATTTTTGCATGACAAACTCCTACTCATACTTTAAGAACCAACTCAAATGTAATGTCTCTAACGAAACATTTCTAACCATCCCAGCATTACATTCTGTTCATCATACTGCCAATAATGCTATAACATAGAAACTATTTTTATAGTACTTATTTAAACTGTCATTTATTTGTTTTTTGCATGTGCTTCCCTAAGAGTTGAGAGTGATCTTTATATCTCTACCTCCTAACATATGAACCCTTCTAGAGGGTGCTCAATAAATATCTGCAGAATCAAACTCAACTAATTGGCAATGCAGTATCTAAAACTGACTTTAAAAATTGACAAACTCTAAGTCTTGTTGAGTATTTTTCTGAAAAGACTTAAAAAGAGGAGGTATACCATTCAAATTCTGTAACAACAATCTTACTAACAAGATGGGAAACTGCCATGCATTTATACTCATTAACCCGTTCAGTGATTTTTTTTGTTGAAATACTCTCAACACTTCATCTGAAGAAGCTACTCCCAAACGTTTTAGTGAACAAACAGCATTAACTACCTACTCCATCAGCTACTATTTTGCGATGAAAAACAAAAATCTTAAAAAAAAAGAATCTGACATCAGTGAAAAAAGTTTCAAAGTAACTTACAACATAAACATTTAAAAAGCAATTAAATTAAATAAATGAAAGAAATAATCAGAGGAAACCTAAAGCACTAATTTTAAAAAACCCTTTTGACAGATTTTACACTATGGTCTAGATATACATACTTATATACATATATAAATGAAAACAATACTTACCCTAGCAACATAATGGAATCTGAGATATTTTATTCACTTTTTCATTGAAAAGAAAAACAAGCAAAACCCACCGGGTAGACTTGCTAAAATGATTTTATACCCCACTAACGGGTTGAGATTTAAAGTTTGGTAAACACTGTCCAAAGAAATTCTGCATATTATCAATAATCCCTAGGCTACACTGATAGCCACAATCTTACAACAAATCTATATATGAAATATGTCTATATCAGAAAAATAATGAAAAATATAATTTTAATAGGACACGGTAATTTCTGCTATAGTTAGGAAAAGTAAAATGGAATCTTGATATCTAAAAAAAAAAAAAGAGTGATATTGTGTGCACCTTAGTCTTAGAGCTCTAAAAGTGACAAGGCCCACATTCTTAGCTGAATACTGTTAAAAGAGCTGAGATTTTAGTTTAAACAATATTACTCTCAAGTTTAGTATTAGTCTCAAGTTCTTCAAGTCTAAGAAAGCCTTGTTTAAGAAATTCAATTCCACTTATTAGTTATTAAACTGTGAGATAATATAATGTTAAAAATTTTCATGGCGTGTCCATCTCAAACTTAAATTGAAGACAAATCATTCTTCCTAACAGATATCTTTAAGTGTCTGTTATACAGAAATCCCATGGCTGCCACTAACTGCAAGCCACTTTAAAAGACCTATTTCTTTTCATAGCCAAATATAACATAAAATTCTTAGCTGATTTTCTTTTGTTAAAATCTAGTAAACATTCTCTGCTAACTACCATAAGGCAATGAAGCTCTTCCCAACATTTGTATACATTTCAATTTAGGTAACACTGGATCTGCATAAATATTACTTTCAACATGAAATATTTTTGCTAAAAAGTTAGTGATTTCAAAAGAAAATTTTCATGAAATCATAAATAGAAATTTAAATACAAAGACATCCCAGAAAAAAGAGCATTTATGTATATCAAATAGAACTGCCATTTACTTTTTACAAGACTGCCACAGACACATGAAGTTGTGCCCAGGTTTCCTCACTGGCTCTCCATGCTGAGTGGACGCAGTGAGCGCAGAAGGCTGAGAGCTGTTAGGCTGGCTCTGGACTTGAACAGCTGGTGAAGGTGTCACTGGAGTGCTCTGTGAAAAGACAAACCACACAGTCTGTGAAATGACACTGAAAACAGAGTATAGGTTTGTGAATTTGATTACAGTGATAGTTATGCACTTTCAACCTAAAATTCACACTTGGGAGTTTTAATGATTATCTTTTGGATACTCTTTAAGAAGATAACTAATTTCAGGAACATATTTAGGAAGTCAAATTTATTTCATATGAATCACAGAGGCAAGACTGCATTGTTACTGTTACAGAATACACATAACTTAGAATTAAAGATTTTTATATTAATAAAATTGGGTAGAAATACAACTATAGATTAAACAGAAAAAAATTATAAATGCACCCATTTTATTTACTTACACATATTCTTCACAAGAAAAAAATCAACTGTAAATTATTATTTCTTTGTATAGTATCTCTTTAAGATTGTAATGAGTAACATAAAACCATATATAGTAAAAAAATCAAAGTGAATTTCAGATGTTAAGAACGATGTAACAATTTAAGTAGAATGTTGTAAATATTACTTTGCAGTAAAAGCTATTTTAACTAACAACTTCAATCTTGAAAGGTGCTCAGTTATAAATTTTGATGGATTATACAAGAAAAGGATTCTAATTGTATGCATAAGTTTTCTAAATATAAGCTACATTTTTTTTCCTTTATACACAAACATCCTTTTCTCTCTGAAAAACACATAATATTTATAATGTAGCTTAAAACAATTTGAAACATTACATTTTGAGGTTTAACTCAGATTTCACTCATAACATACATAGCACAAAGGAAAAAATAATGTTAAATTCCTCACGGAAATGATTAGCATACCATTTTCAAAGCACCGTTTAAAGGAAATACATTTAACCTCTGGGAAAATATTAAATGTATTTGCTTATTTATAAAGTGACATTGGAAACAGTGGAGCAAAACTAAGCTGAAAATTGCTGAAAACCTCTTATTGGAAAGTCATAGTAATTTTTTTAAAAATAGACAAACAGAAACAGATAAGGCCATAGCATAAAAATGAATAAAGGAAAAGAATAAAGTGCCAAGAGTGAAAGTTCTTAGAAATGTGGAGTCATAAGAACTTTTGAGTTCTAAGCTCTAAGAAAAAAAAAATTACTTTGGGATGTGATTGAAGTTGTTTTTATAATAGGGTCTCATTCTTATGATTTTCTAATATTATTAGTAAGAAAATACATACACGCAAAAAACCACGCATTTTAGTGCAGTATAGGTATCAATGGCTAGAAGGAAGACTTTCCAGCTTGACAGAATAGACTCAGAATTTCAATCTGCCTTTTAACAAGCTATGTGACCCTGTGCAAACTACATAACATCTCTGATCCTCAATTCCCTCATCCAGAAAGTGTAATAAAATCTAACTTCTGGGATGGCGGGAAGACTACAGAAACTCTACATGAAGAGCCTAGCTCAAGAGTCTCAATAAATGGCAATTGTTACTATTGTTATTTATGCTAATAGAGAAGCCCAGAGTGAAACAGTATTTTGGAGGAAAGATGATGAGTTCACTTTGGGGACAAGAACAGATCAGTATTGCAATTATTTAGCAATAAAGTTAATTATCTAGCAATAGTTAAACTATCTAGCAGTAGTTTAAGCTGGAACAAGAATCTGACAATCATTCACCTGTGAATTCTTAAAAGTCATAAAAACTAACAATGAGAAAGCAGACACAGGGGTCGGAATCAGAGAAAATGGCAGGGAAGAATAACATTAGAATCAATCTATTTACCAGGAAAAAAAAAGTCAACCTTGAAATGAAACTACTGCATAAAAACAAACAAAAAAAAATCCATGAAATTCCAGTAAGTATGAGTAACCATTGAAGAATGACAGAAATATAATCTCAGAATTATAATTAAAGGGTAAACCTGTCAGAGCTATCAAATTCCCTCAGAATGAACTTTCTGGTTCCCTACACTATTACCATTTACCCTAGGTATTTTATTGACTAGCTTGTCATATACTTTTAAATTAAATTTATTTTTGTTTTTATATGCTAACAAAGCTTTATCCTATTTTTTTCTTCATTGTAGAATTCTAACTGGTGTCATACAGGAAAGTTAAATAACAGGGAATCATAGCATATTTAGCCCCAACTGTTAATGATTTATGAAGATGCGGCAAGGATGACTGGAGTTAATCCAAACTCTTCAATTAAGAATGAATAAAAGACATATTAACCAAATTTTCTACACATTGCATCTGGTGTTCTCTGGATCTTAATTCAAACAAAACTTATAAAAACACATTTTTAAAGACTAAGAACAAACAATATTAAGAAAGTACTATTTTTGTTAGGTGTGATTTGGTATTACAAATACTGATAAATATATACTGAAGTATTTATTAGTAACTTGAAATCTTTGGGACTTACTTTACTGCAGGGGAAAAACAGTAGTGAAGAAAATATGAAACTAGAAAGGCAATGGTGACAATATTTAAAGCTGGGTGAAGGGTAAGGCTGGTTAAGGCCAGTAAGCCTCTACACTTGTGTATGTCTAAAATTTTCACAATAAAAAGTAAACAACAACAAAAAAACACAGAGCTAAATATATCAATAAAACAAAATGAATTAAACTACTTATAGAAAATACCAAATGAAAAATTCCAAGACTCGCATTTTCTTTGAATAAACCAGTATATTTACTTTACGGGGAAAAGTACCAATAACCTCAGAAACACAGATGATACCACCCTTATGGCAAAAAGAGAAGAGGAACTAAACAGCCTCTTGATGAAAGTGAAAGAGGAGAGTGAAAAAGCTGGCTTAAAACTCAACATTCAGAAAACAAAGATCATGGCACTTGGTCCCATCACTTCATGGCAAATAGATGGGGAAACAATGAAAACAGTGAGAGACTTTATTTTCTTGGGCTCCAAAATCACTGCAGATGGTGACTGCAGCCATGAAATTAAAAGATGCTTGCTCCCTGGAAGAAAAGCTATGACCAACCTAGAGAGCACATTATAAAGCAGAGACATTACTTTGCCAACAAAGGTCCGTTTAGTCAAAGGTATGTTTTTTCCAGTAGTCATGTATGGATGTGAGACTTAGAATAAAGAAAGCTCAGTGCCAAAGCATTGATGCTTTGAACTGTGGTGTTGGAAAAGACTCTTGAGAGCCCCTTGGACTGCAAAGAGATCCAACCAGTCCATCCTAAAGGAGATCAGTCCTGAATATTCATTGGAAGGACTGATGCTGAAGCTGAAGTTCCAATACTTCGGCCTGATGCAAAGAACTGAATCATTGGAAAAAACCCTGATGCTGGGAAAGAGTGAAGGCAGGAGAAGGGGACAACAGAGGATGAGATGGTTGGATGGCATCACTGACTCGATGGACATGAGTTTGAGCAAGCACTGGGAGCTGGTGATGGACAGGGAGGCCTGGCGTGCTGCAGGCCATGGGGTTGCAAAGAGTCGGACAGGACTGAGCGACTGAACTGAAAGTAGCATTTTTTATTTTCTCTTGTATTAGAAAATTACATATTTCTTTCAACAAAACTAATTTTAATAGTTTGTTTATACTGTATTGTATGTCTTTTAAAGGACTATTTAAATTATGTTTTAAGAACTAGGTCTTTTACATAAAATGCAAAATATATTTCTTTTAAGATGTAAAAGTGCCTGATCATTAACCATAACCCTAACTTGAATATAAATGTAAAAGTGGTCTCAAAATCATGTTTTTGGAATGATCACTCCTGAGGAATATTGTTCAATACTATTCTTTGTTCTGCTCTGAAGAACTAACTTTTCGTATTCTAGTACCTCTCTAGTAGTGTGTGACCAGAAAAGTAAAATTATAAAAAGAATATGAAATAATTCTGTGATTCCTTTTGCAATGTAAAATTATCTAAAACATTAATGTAGCAGTTTTATTTTTGGCAAAGGTTTTCTTTTGTTAAAATAAAAAATTATAATCTTGCCTTCCTTTATCATCTTTTCAAGAGTAAACTATGGTTGAAACTTCTAGACTGTACTGATGTTATTTTCTGATATATAAGACTTGGGATTTGAAGTTCTTAAACACTTACATATTAATGAAGAACACCTAAGGTCTAATTGAAAGAATTAGGAAAATAGACTCTAAAGAGTAAGTAGAGATAATTTTAAACGCTTGTACGGAACAAGAACTAAATTTATTCTAAATGTGGTATTAAGGAAGTTACACTTAGTCTAAACAAAATACACACCTTTACAGAAAAGAATTAAGACAATCACTGGAAAAGAGATCTTTGTAAGTGTGGGAAAGTTAATTCAACTCTTTAAAAAGGGTTATGGACAAGATAATATCTAAGGTTCTTTCTGCTCTAATATTCTCTCATTTTCGTAACCTCTCCAAGTCTTCTTATTAAGTATAACTAGACAATCAACACATACACAGTCTATCTTATAAATAGAGCACATTGAAGTGTAAATGAAAAAAACATTTAGCACCGTCACTCCAAATTTTTGTTGTGACGAGACAAAGAACCGAGGAGCATGCACTCGCCTGACAGTACCAATGATTTTCTTAATTATTACAATGGAATACTAGCTTCCCGGGTGGCTCAAATGGTAAAGCGTGTGCCTTCAATGCGCGAGACCCAGGTTCAATCCCTGGGTTGGGAAGATCTCCTGCAGAAGAAAATGGCAACCCACTCCAGTATTCTTGCCTGGAAAATCCCATGGATGGAGGAACCTGGTAGGCTACAGTCCATGGGGTCGCAAAGAGTTGGACACAACTGAGCGACTTCACTTTCTTTCACTTTCACTACTAGTCTACAAATCTGAGCAGTAATATGCTTCAAAAAAAATTGAAATGACATTCCTGACTCTTGCTAAAATGATCTTCTATGGTTATGACTAGACATAGCCCCCCTGAGATTGCAGATATGCTTTCTGATGGGTTGGGTAACTTTTTAAACTCTTTATCAAAGAATGAAAGGGACCAGGAAGATACCCATATTCAATGTTAGCACCATTTCAGAAAGGATTCATATATGAAAGACAGGAAACTAAAGAGCATCATCCATAAAATGCCTTAAATAAGTACATCCTTAAGTAAACTATTTTTATATACAAGAATTAGGCATGACATCAGATCACAGGATGAACAGATAGATATATTCAACATGTGTTTTATATGCTTCTGAAAAAGACAAGTCTTCAGTTAAGTATAATTAATTTTTTCCATTTTTATTCTCTCATATGCCAATCTAGTACCACACCTTCTACAGCAAATACAATTTCATGAATAGTGGAAGAGAGTAGAGCTCAGAAACAGTATCCATATTGTGGCACTTTAACTTGCAAATATAACAGATTGAAAATAAGTAGTATAAAGAAATATACCTTGAAGTTAAACACAGTTATTTCATACTCAGCTAAATACCATTTAAATACAAAATATATAGTTATAGCATTTACTTTCATATTTCTTTCCCCTTTATTTGTTCCTAGCATCCTTTCTGTAATAAAATTAATACAGCTAATTAGTGGTAGTGAGAAGGAACAAAACTGAAAAAAGAAATATTAAATAACAATGGTATTAGGAAGGATCACCTGTTGGCCATTCTCAGCAGTGATATTTCCCTGCAGTCTTTCCAGACCTGAGCATTCTGCAAGTCTAGAGATTCCTTCTTGGTGTAAAGGTACCTCCTTAACATCCCCCACCCCTTGAAATGGTGGAAATAACAAAGTATAGCTTAAAAAAAAAAATCACATTTAAATTCCTCTATTTCATCTACCCGTTTAAAGTGCCAAATCAAATACTGGATAAAATGGTATTAAACCAAGGTCTAAAATGCAATTCTAAGACTATATAAAGAAATTTAAAGAATCTGGGCAACAGTGGAAATGGTTTTTATTAACAGGCTCTTAAGAAGGTCCAACAGGCTCCTCCCTTCAAAGGAAACTTACGATACCATCTTGAGCAGCTGGTAATTTTTTAGCCTTTATAGGTACTTTATCCTATGTGTTAGCTGCTCAGTTGTGTCCCAATTCTTTGTGACTCTATGGACTGTAGCCCGCCAGGATCCTCGGTCCATGGGATTCTCTAGGCAAGAATACTAGAGCGGGTCGCCATTCCCTTCTCCAGGGAATCTTCTTGACGCAGGGACTGAACCTGGGTCTCCTGCGTTGCAGGCATATTCTTTACTGTCTGAGCCACCAAAGATAAAATATACTTGCACCATTACTGAGCGCCAGACTGTGTATCAGGCATTGTGCTAAGAGTTATACATAGATATCCTGTTTTGTTTGCTTCTTATAGACACCATGTATGTATGCTATGTCTCTTTTTCCTTGCAAAGTTTTACATTTCTACATGTCAACAAAATACCAACTTCAAAAATAAAGACTATAGCTGTTTGAAATAAACTACATTCTTGGGGAGAATACATAAAAGTTTATACACATTTTTTAGATTAGGAGTAAGCATCACCGACTCAATGGATGTGAGTTTGGGTGTACTCCGGGAGCGGGTGATGGACAGGGAGGCCTGCAGTGCTGCAGTTCATGGGGTCACAAAGAATAGGACATGACTGAGTTACTGAACTGAACTGAAAATATATTAATTTTATGGTTTGAATTAGATGTATATATGTCCAATATGTTAAATTCTAGCATTGTGATCCTGAAATTATCTTTCAGTGATACTTATATCCTACAACATAGTCAATAAAATAATGTTACATATAAAAGAAGTATCCTAGGATTTTACAAAGAAATCTTTTAGAATAGTGGCAAATGGGTTAAGAGCACGAGCTCTGGTTTCAGACACATCAGATTTCAGTCCTGTACCATTTCATGTTTGTTGGTAACCTTGGGCGAATTATTTAGCACTGTGAAGCCTCGTCTCTAAAATAGAAATTATGTTTACCTAATAGAGTTTCTCTGTGAATCAAATGACAAAATAGTGCAAAATTCCTAACATGGGTCCTAGTCTTAGCTACTATTGCTTGTTTTTTGTTATTTAGGTATCACTATTGAACATAACCGCACTGGAGGTTGAAGGACACAATAAACAAGGGTGGATGAAACAGTTTCATAGTAAGGGAGTTTTTCTCTAATCTGGCTTGGTCTACTATAACTCTTTAGGATTACAATGGAATCTAAAAGGAAAAAAGTGGAACATATAAGATGAACTGGGAAATTGTTAAATATTAAAAAAAGTGCTGAACGCTTAGTATATGTTGGACATTGCATTATTAAAAAAATTTTTAGTGTGCTTTAATAAATAAAAACTCAACCTGTAGAAGCTTGAATAAAAACGATTTGGTATTTTCCACAAAAACTCCATATTAATTATTGCCATGTACAAAATATACACTGAAGAATCCTCAACCTATTTAGATACCTTGAAATAGATCTAAGCAATACTAATATACGAATTAAAAAACTCATTATGCTCCCAGAGCAGCACTGTCCAGCTTTACCCATTCACATGAAGAAAGACACACATTAGTGAATGATGTTCTAAGCAAGGGATTCTTTGCTTTCTCACCTTCCATTTTGCTTCCCTATGCTCACCCCTCTCTTGTCATCTAGATTGGTATCAATACCAACACAATCTGCTGTTATCATCAGAAGCACAGAGAAAAAACCCAAGACAGAAGAGTGCTAGCAGAGCTGGCAACAGTCACAGAAGGTTCTGGCTGTGCAGTAATTAGGAAACAAAAGAATGAAGTAGTAGTAGGCTGATTGGATCCTCAATTCAGTATCACTGATTTTAGAAAATGTCAGGAAGCATCATTTAACAAGAGGCTTCCTGTGTGCTGTTTTGGATCTGTCGGGAACCCTCTGGCCATTATTGATTCCTGAATATTCAGGAATTAAGAGGAGAGGCACGCCTTTCCCGGGGCAGAGGAATCCAGGCATTTCTCATTACGGTGATAAGGACCCTCTTCCTTTTTATGAGCCATACAGTAAAAGGTGATTGTTTGCAACTCTCTTTGATAGGGATCATCTTATGTTTTGTAAGTCTGGAATTTTAATCTTTATCTTTGCTGAGAATAACTACAGTATATGTGCCCAAGCCATGTTGATTAAAACACCTTTGCTCCATCAGAGCTTCGGTCCCCGCGTCTTTCTTTCTTTCTTTTCTCTCTCTCTATTTCTGGCTAATTCCTTGGAGCGCGGAGGCCCGCTGAGCTCACTTTCTTACCCGGACTTCTGAGACCCTCTAGAGAAGACACACTGCACCTTCACCCACTTGAGAGGGCGCCCGGTGCCCACGTGCAGCAGCGCGAGCCCTGAGAACAGGGCTCTATTGGCTTTCCGCAGAAACCAGGGGATGTCAGCCTCTTTCTCTCTCTTAGACTCTCCGGACCACCAGGTTCCGGTCCATTAAAGGACCAACAAGCGCCATCAGCCTCTTTCTCTCTTACTTTCTTAATGTCAACTCCGGACCACCAGGTTCCGGTCCATTAAAGGACCAACAAGAAAACACTTTTATTTACTGAGGCATGCAGAGAGGGGAGAGTAGATATTTAAAAGGGAATAAATAGAGCAAAGGAATAAGAGACACAAAATTTTAAATACCAGAATAGCTGAAACAAATTGGAATTATAAGAAATAAACCTTTTTAAAGAATAAAGGCAACTAATTCAATACCTCGTAAGAACACACTTGATAAAATTCTTATGGAATTCACCTTTTTTACAAAAGTAATGTGAAAGAAGCCTTAAAATACACTCATGTCAAAACCAAATACAGAAATTCCCTCCTGGTGTACTCTTAGCAAACCTCTCCCACACAAGACCAAGTTACATTTAAAAGATACACCCTAAAATGTTAGATGACAAGTACTTCTCTGTCTTGGCTCTACAAAATTACTGATTTGCGTGTATAATAAAATAGAAAAATGCTTTAAACTAGGGGTCCTCAACCCCTGGTCAGTGGCCTGTTAAGAATCATGTGGCACAGCAGGAGGTGAGTGGTGGGCTAGCAAGGGAAGAGTCATCTGCTGCTCCCATCATTTGTATTACCTCCTGAACCTTTGCATTTCCCCCAACCCACCTCAGGGATGGGAAAAAAACTGTCTTCCATGAAACAGGTCCCTGGTGCCCAAAAGGTTGGGGACCTCTGCTTTAAATCATGTGTTTAAATGAACAACTGAAAACTGTTCAATATTACAAAGAACAGAGAAAAATAAAAGAGCACGACAGCTTGAGTACATTGCTAGGTCCTCCCAATTACCTTTTCAAGGTAAAACATGGGAGAACAGTGAATTTCCCCCTAAAGTCATATGTACCCATCAGGACTGTTTAAGAGAAACGTGACAGGAGGAGCACTCACCTGCGGGACCACATTCTGTACGTACGTTGGCGGATGCTGCTGCTTCTGCTGAGCAGCACTTTCTATTGCTACTTTAGCTACAGTGCTTGGATCTGCTCCTGCTGGCACCGCAACCATCGTTGCGCTGCAGCCAGCATTGTTGGGGTCACTGATTGTAACAATTCTAACTCCCACTTTATTTGGAATTCCTGTGACTGTTTCCCTATCATTATCCTCTGCGGGCCTCTTTACAGTTTTGCATTCTGCTGTGCCATTTGTAGACCGGACGTCAGACAGCAGGGCAGGAGGATGGGATACTCTTGATCCTGAGTGGGGAACGGCTATGATTTGATGCCCCTGTATAACAGAGGTTGCAGAATGTGGTGAGACAACTACACTTGGGCGTTGCTGAGGCACATCTGAATTCAAACTTGAAGCTAGAGGTCCATTAGGCAAATCAGTACCACTAAACTGCTGTGTTGCCACATTTGAGGCCTCCTGTATACTGCTCCCAGATGGTGAAACACCCAAAGTTAATATAGGTCCATTAGAAGTTCTTTCTAGTTGATCACCTTTGGCAGTATCTTGCTGAGTGGCATCTAAAGTCCCTTGTGGTTCCATTGGAGATATCTCACCATTTCCTACATGATTGGAAGTTTTGTGATTTGGAATGTTTTTGCTTAAATGAGAACCATCTCCTTTATCAAAATCACAGATTCCATTAACTAGAGGTTTTCTCAAATCACTTTTAAGATCCTGCACGTCCATTTGCTCTGAGTTCTGTTTTCCAGATGCTCCATTCTCGCCCAATTCTAATGATGGCCCATTACTGATCAGTGAGCACTGATTAGCCTCACTTTGAATTTTCCCTGAGTTTGAAGGAGGTAGACTTGAGTCACTGTATTTTCGCCCATTTAAAAGACTTCCCACCTGCATTTCATTTTCCTTTGTATCCCCATTGCTGGTGTTTGTGGTTCCTCGTCTGCAGGACGGGTTCTCCATGACTTCAATTTTACGTTCATGAACATGTAAACCTGTTGCTTCTTTTGCTTCCTCCTCCTTTTGGCAAATTATTTTATCACCTTTGAATGGGGGAGTAGCAGTAGTACAAGATGATTGTCCAGCTGGAGATGCTTGAGTGGCTGGAAGCGTTTGCACCTGAAGTCCAACTCCTGCCTGGGTCCCGCTCATGGTAATTCCTGCTGGAGCAATGAGCTGAGTTGTATTTCCCTGACTCACAGTTGCAGTTGCAAAACTTGTATTTGGCACAACTGTTATGGTTACCTGGTTGCCAGAAGTCCCTTGGAAAATGGTTGCTGGGCTATTTGAGATCAGTGGACCTGGCAATATTTGTAAGTTCGAGATGGGCACGGTTTGCACTCCCCCGGTGGGTGGCATTGCACTTTGGACCAACTGAACATTTTGCTGCCCAACCAACAGCTGCTGAGCTGGAGTTTGCCCTTGCACTCCAAAACCTGCTGCTTGGTTATTGGCCACCTGGTACACCACCTGAGGACTAGGAGCTCTTGCATTATTGGGGGGAGGAATCTGTGGCGCTGGGAGAATAAGCTTACCACCAGGAGTTGAAGGACCACGCTTTGGAAGCAGCAACTGTTTTATCAGACTCGACTCACCAGAAGCAGGCTGACCAACTCCTGCATTCGTTTGCTGTGGCTGAACTTGCATCTGTACTTGTTGTGGCTGCTGAACTTGTACTTGTACCTGTTGTGGAGGTGCTGGTGAATGCTGCTGCTGTTGCTGCCTTTTCACAGACAGCATCTGACTGACAGTAGGAGGTGGTCCCTGTGGCTGAGGGGTGGAAGAAGATGACATGGCAGTAGGGACCTGGTTAGTAGCAGCTGGGACAGGTGATGGTGAGGAAGATGGAGTAATGTTTGGTTGTCCCGTTAGCTGAACTGCCTGGCCAGCTGGAAGAGCTGCTGGATTAGCAAGAACAATTTGGTGAATGGCTGGTGCATAAGTTTGACCTTGTTGAGCTGGCTGGCTTACAATCACTACACTTTGTTGGGCTGGCTGCTGCGGCTGTTGAATAGGCTGTTGTACCACTGTTGATGAAACTTGCTGAGAAGGGAGAGGTTTTGGTGCGATGTTCTGAAACCCTACCCTTGAGGGCTGTGGACCTGGGACACCAGCAATGGTAACCATCTGCCCTGTAGCTACCTGAAAATTCTGCACTGAAGTTGCTGAGACAATGTTGGATGTAGAAGTCGTTACATACTGTGGGGGTGCTATGATAACAGCGTCCTGTGGCTGGCTGCCAGCTGATGTCTGCTGAGATGAAGTTTGTACAGGTTGGGGTGACGTGGTGATTAACTGTTGACCCTGTGAAACTGTAGAAGTACATGCTGGTATGTTCTGAACTCTGCCAAATATATGACTCTGTGGGACAGCTTGCTGAATCACTGTAACAGGAGTGCCAGAAGGTATCTGCCCCGGTACCACTGTGTGTAATGGAGACTGCTGTGGAATTACTGACGGATGGTGAAGCAGTGTCTGGGAATTGACAACTGTAACAGGCTGTGGCCCTGAACTATGATTCTGAACCACAGAACTCTGTGCAGCTCCTCCTCCCACAGCAATACTAACAGGAACCGCTGTCTGGGGTATAGAGTTCTGGATTACTGTGGCCTTAACGACTTCACAAGGAATTGGAGCTTTATTTTGAATGACAGTCACCGGAGCATTTTGCTGCTGGTGGGTATGAACCGAAGGGTTTGGTGGAATTCTTGAAACAGTCTGTGCCACAGTATGAACACCTTGTACTGGAAAAGACATTTGTGTTGCAGTCAAACTTGAAGACTGGTTGGTAACAGGAGTCCTCTGAAAATGGTTTCCTACAGTTTGTGGTCCATGAGGGATTCCTGAAAATATGAGGAAAAGTTAAAATTCACAGTGAAATGGCTGAAAAGCAGCATGCAGAAATTATTTTACTTAATTTCAAGAGAAAACAGTGTTAAGAAATTAACAACTTTGCATCATATGAATATGATAAAATAATAGAACAAGAAATAAAATGTTACTTAAAAACAAGGACAAGTTATACGTCTTGAATGCATATAATACATGTTTTCATTTAGCCTTCTTATTAAATTGGTAATATTTAATCACAATAAAAATTAATACCTGCAGGTGAAGGACTTGGAGATACATCAGGTACAGAATCAACACGAACAACGGGAGTAGAAACAGGTTGCTGCTGATAGTACATCTGAATGGGAAGTGGGATAGCCCTACGTTTTACTCCTACTACATGAATATGCGCCTGCCCACTGTTACTGGAATCCTCCACTCTCTTCACTGTATGATTTGGAAAGACTGTTCTGTAAAGTACACACACATTCAATTTTAATAACTAGCACATTAACAAAAAAACACTAAATTCTAACAATGTTTACACGAACAGCAACAGTATATTCACTGCTACTTATATATGAACCAATATGAATCATATATTCTACAAGGATGGGAAACAAGGAATTAAATATTAACATAAAAGATTAATTCTCCAATTTCAAAACTCATTATTATTAACATTGTAGGGTTTAAAACAATTCTACTATATATATAATTAATAAAAAAGCTGCATCAGGTCAATGCCTATGTTATAAACTTTGCAAAATATCAAGAAGTCATGATATTTGAAGATAGAGCTCAGTCACAGGCTATTATTCAAGATTTAAAAGGGCTAATGCTAGGTCTTTAACACATATAAGTAGCAGGAAAAAAATAAACTTAATTTCTTTTCTTTTCTTTGATAAACCTCAAAATTTCCTTGAATTTAAACTTCCACCACACTATAATCTAACCATACAAAATTTTAAGTAGTGGAGTTATTCAAGACTAGGTAAGATAGTTGGTAGGCCTTCCTGGGTAGCTCAGTTCGTAAAGAAACCACCTGCAATGCCAGAGACCCCAGTTCAAAACCTGGGTCAAACGTCCCCGTTGAGAAGGGGTAGTCTACCCACTCCAGTATTCCTGGGCTTCCTTGGTGGCTCAGACAGTAAAGAATCTGCCTGCAATGCAGAAGACCTAGATTCAGTCCCTGGGTGGGGAAGATTCCCTGCAGGAGGGCATGACAACCCACTCCAGAATTCTTGCCTGGAGAATCCCCATGGACAGAGGACCCTGGCAGGCTTACAGTTCATAGGTTCCCAAAGAGTTGGACACGACTGAGCAACTAAACACAGCACAGATAGTTGTTATGTTCTCTACAGAGCAAGGCGTATGTAAATTAACTTTAAAGAAATATAAACTCTACCTAAGACATTTATAAAATCCAGTTGATGTTAGGATTCCACCACGAGCCAATTTACTGCAAGTTGATAGGTACTCAGAATACATTTCTGCTCGAGAGACAGAACAATCTGGATTTACTTCAAAATGAGCATTTAGCCTAAAAGAGGGGAAAAAAAAATACATGGCATTATGCAATATACTACAAAGTCTATACTTAACCATTTGAAGGCAATGTGTTATAAATTAATAATCATATCTATTGGTCAAATTTCACTATCCCATGCTATTAGCAAAAATATATGCTAGGTTTTAGGCAGACTAAATCAAATAAAGAGATTATTTAATCATTCTTATTTTAGTATAAAAACTCATTATCCACAAATATAAAAACCAATATTCACAAATATATGTGAATACATCAGCAGAGATGGTATGCTGGCAATAAACATTCTACAACACATTAATTTTATACAGTGAATACTCAGGTTCCTATCTTGTAATAATCAAACTATAACAGAAGCTCCCAATTATGAGTTATTCGTGATGTGAAAAATGAAGGAAAAACAACTAAACTTTTGTTGCTCTTGGATCAAATTTCTTCAGAAAAAAACTCTCCTAAAACATTTAACTACTTCCTAAAACAATGATACTTCTCAAGCTGCACACTCCCTTTCCCCACCTCAGAGACTATTCCTAATTAATTATAAGGTAATTCAAACTTCAGTTTGTCTTTGTCATAAAGTGACTTCAGCTATAATTTAGGATTGGAGGCCTAGTTAACCATATAGGACTTTTTCTAGGACTCACTATATACATACAAGACAGGCCAACCTACAGCTGTTTCCTATTAACTGAATCAAATGATAATTATGATAGAATAATTTAAAATGTTTCTCTTCTCCTCCTCCCTAGAAATGGAAGAAATAAGAATTTATAAGACCAAGTCTATAACTAACACACACACATTGTACAGTGGATGCAGTACTTATTTTTTCCAGCTTTCATAACTTTGAGTATTGAGTTTTCAAATAGACCAGAAACAAAAAACTGTTTGGTTTCAATATAGAAGACAAATATTTTCTAATATCATTGGAAGATTTATCAAGTATAAAGGGTCAGGTGTAACAATACAGAACATGAAGAAATAGCAAAAAATTAGAGGTATTACCATAAACCTGATTTAAGAAAAGTAGAAAAGTAGAGAAAAGTGTCATAGGAACACAGATATGAAAGCACCAAAAATATGGAACATAAAATGACAGGAACATGGAATGGGAGAAAAATGTTAGAGAATGGGGGAAAGAAATTTTTTAAAGTAATACATCACTGAAAAGTGATCTTACATTTCAATCTGTTAATCTTCTAAAGAATTTAAGTTGAAATTCATAAACAATGTAGAGGCAATTAGCCATGAAAAAATGAAATCTAACCAATTCTACATTTGTTTTTTTTCAGGAAGTGGCTGAGATGTGACCAGTCAGTCTTCTCAAGAAACTATTATTTTAAAATTGATATTTCAATGTAGACATACTGGTTATTCTATCATTTGATTAGTTACCTCTTACTACTCACAAAAAGAAAAAATTAACTAGCAATGAACAAGAAATTTTGCTTTTGGTCAAAAAGAAGGGACATTTAAAAACAAAATCTGGTTCTAAGAAGTCAGTCCAATTCAGTTTTAATAAAATATTACGAAAAACAAATTCTATAATACAACAAAACTTATTTTCTACAAAATCAATGACAATTTTTTAACACAAATTTTACTTGAAAAGAAATGGTGTAATTTAATGAAATTTTAATCAGACTATTTTAATTCTGAAGATTCTGATACTTTACTTTCAAACTATCCCAAAATACAGGCGAAGCAATTTTATACTGTCCTTTCTTATATAAATGATATCCTACTCTAACTAGAAAGAAATACAGAGTTAAACATTCTGGATGACTGCTGAAATAATTTCCTTTTCTCATTTGCTTTGTTCTTCCCAAGGAGAAAGCCTTAATAGAAATAAACCACTTACCACTGACAAGCAAACTTCTCACTATCTATTTCCACTATTCCTGGAGGTGGAGCAACATGCTGCGCTACAACTGCTCTGGAAGCTAAAGAAAAAAATATATTAGCTACATCATTTTTTAAAACTACAGGCCATATTTAGTTCATGGATATGGAACCAATTAATATGCACAATGAATACCTTTTAAAAAGGTGTATGAACATATTGAAAATATAGAAATTTGAGAAAGAAACTCATAATGGAACACATGTTAATTATACCAGGCACGGTCTTATATCCTTCATACAAACTATTTTTTGTTAACCTCACAATCATTCAAATAATATGGATTATTTCACTAATATAAACTGTTTTTTCCATTTTCAGACACTGAGTTTTAACTTTATACTATTAATATCTTTTTAATTCTGTGAGGTGTGTATACATAAAGAAACTGACACTCAACTTGATTAAAATAATTAGCCCGAGGACATACAGCACAATGTATCAGTAAATAAACATCTCTCTCAGATTAGTTACAGAAGCAGATTGCATCAAAAATAATTTCACTTCTGAATTTAAAATATTAATATTAACTCTGTAAGTGGCATATATAAAATTTCCAGATATAATGACAAATAGCCAACTTCTATGTTAAAACAAAAATAAGAAAAACATGGGATAATAGAAACATGATCACATTACAGTAAGTTTATTATAATGAAATATGAATCTTTCATATTTATAGATTAAAAATTATATTGTTTCACCAATGAATCAGCATTAATATATGCTTTTTAAACCTACAAAATGTACCTTCTTTTTTTTTCAGGTGACATTCTAGCAAAACTTCTCAGAATCCTCAAGCAAAACATAAATTTCTAAATTATTGGAACTAGAAGAGCCCCACAGTCAGTCCGATCTGTGAATGATCTGAAGCAATCCTGACCTTTGTCTGGTAAGATTCCAGGCTTCCACTGGGATACAGCTAACAGCAGCCAGCCACTTTTAAATACTTACTCTCTATTAAACCATTTACATTTACATGATTTGTTTTAATCTCATATATAGTTCTAAATTTAATTGTCCCCATTTTGCAAATGAAAAACTAAAGCTCAGAGATGAACAAAGAACACATGATGGAGACAGCAGAGTGGAGTATAGCTGGAAAGCCTTCTTTCAGGAGTGCTGACTTTGAATTCAGGTCTGTCACATTTCAGAGGACATACTGTGATATTCTGCTTCTTAACAGAACATCATAATTAAGATCAAAGGTATTTTTCTTGTGCAACCCCAGCCTATCTTTTTTCTTCTCCTAACTTGATGACAGTTACAGAAAATACCTTTCTAAGGCTTAACTCCATGTAGAAATTTCCCTTTTCTTGATCGATTATAAGAATATACCCTACTCTGACTGAAATCTGAATCAATTAATAAACAATTGCAGGAAACATTACAAACTGTGTTGAAATTATGAGAAACTTTATAAACAATGCATAAGGAAAAATAATATAGCCATAATTAAGTTAAAAGTATAAACTAGAAATAAATAATTACTATGAAAGTGGCTACAAACAGAATCCTTGTCTTCAGGATACCTGAAGACATTCCAAAGAATACAAAGGCACTTATACTTTAGATGGAATCATTTCCAGATTTTCAAAGTTTTGTATATATTCCCTCATAAAACTGCTGTGCATGAAAGCAAGGCCTCCTCTTTGATGACTGCTCTTTAACCATTTTGGAACAAAGTCTTAACTCTATTAAACACTGTACAATATGGTTAAATTCAAGACCCTGGAGCCAGAAAACTGGCTATAGAGTTCCATCACTCGAAACCAAGGGCAAGCTACTTAACCCCTCTGGCTATAAAATGGGGCAAAGTAACAGTACACTGACCTCATTGATGGTTATGAGGATTAAAAGTAGTATGTAAATAACTTAAAACAATGCCTGGCACAGACAAAGCGCTACATAAACGTGAGCTATGATGGTGCCTGTATAAATACCTCTGGAACACCAACAAGAGAAGTAGAAACATTAGTATCCACAAAATGTGTCTAAACCAAGGTACTAGGGTAAGCATTCAGGTCTATCCCAGTGTTTTACACATTATAGTTAAGGGCAATGTACAGCCTTAAAAATTGGGTATTCTGGTCCTTTGGTGTGTTTAATATAAAGTGATGACAATTTCTGCTTAATGTCCTTTCCACCTCCATCTCTCAACTAGTACCAAAGAGTGTATTACTTTTTTAAGTTAGAATCTTGAGTAAGTAAAGCACACAGAATATTTAAAGAAATACTGAAGGTAGTGGCATCTTATTTCATTCACATGACACACTCAGGGCAAGTTTAACTATCTTAGAATTCTGAAATAAGGAAGATTTCATGGGAACATAAATCAACATATTTTCTTGGACTGAAAAAGTTGGATTTTTTTTCTAAATAACAGAAATTGAGACAAGATACTCTTGATTAATAAAGACTAATTTATCAGTTAGGTTATGTGGCAGACATTTTCCATAATTGAATGAGGTAAATCTCTAGCAAGACTGGCAAAAATGTACTCATGCACATGACAAAAAGCATTTTATCAAAAAACGCTGTGGTAATGAAATGAAGACTACTAAAATTTTCCTAACCCAGTGGTTCTCAAAGTAATCGTGCCCTGACCTGAAGCATCTGTATCTCATGGAAACTTGTTAGAAATGAAAATTCTCCCATTCACCTGAATCAGAAACTCAGGTATGGAGCCAAGCAATCAGCGTGAAAGCCCACTGGGTGACTCTGATGCACCATGAAGTTGCATAACCACTGTGCTAACACTACCTGAACAGATTAAGTTAAACAAGGTGCAACTAACTGAAAGAGTAGCAACTTTAATTTACACTCATATCTTATTAATATTTTTTGATATGTTTTCAATAAACTTAAAAATAAGTTATCTATACTAACCGGGCAATAAATAATTTTACAAATCAAGTATTATTAATTCTTTGATTTCAACAAAACAAAGCAGAACTCAAATTTTCAGAAGATCATTAAATATAATTTTAATAATTTTTAGATAATTCCGAAAAATAATAATTTTAAGTTCTACACTCAACTATTTATTGATATAAACTACATTTAATGATGTGAACTTAAATATATAAAGAGGAAAAACATAAAATTAATGCTGAAACTAACTGTAATTCTAGCAACAAAAAAAATACTCTGAGACACACTAGAGTAATACTTTCCAGAAAACTAGGGGAAAAAGTCTTGTCCATTTCATTAAGAGATGCACTTCCAATAATTGCTTCTTTTAATTATTTATAAAAGTTTGTAATATATTTACTATTGTTTTATGGACTGTTTATTATTAAACCTTGTAACAATAAAATACATTTTTAACACTTAGGGCTTTATAATGTAACAAAATTGAAAAACCTTAAAATTAAAATGTCTATGTAAGTATTGACAGGGTGATGGATCTTGGATCTGAGTTCAAGGAGAAAGACGGACAGTATAAAATTTCTAATATTAAGAATACGTGTTATTTTTTAAATGGATAATGTTACGTATCAAGATTCCACAGGATATAAAAAATAAGTATCAACTTAATACATCACAAAAACACAGTATTTGCAGATAGATGAGAGGAAGTGAGCTAAAAGTTTGAAGATAATCATTCCATTAGCAAACAGTATTAAACAAATGATGGGGAGGAAAGCCAAACTATAAGTGGTAACTAATCAAACAATTCAGAGTTGTCATTCATGATGAGCAAGTAATAAAGTGCTCACCAGCATAAAAATGAACTCTTTTAGGTTCCTAGAGGCCTATGCAAACTTCTATCAATGGCACGACATACACAAGAAACTGTCAATATTTAATTTTATTCATTTGCCAATGAGGATCAACTCTTAGACTGGGCGGTGGGTTCACTTGTTAAGGTCACAGGTCAGCAATAAGGCAAAAGGAGTTTTCATGAAAATTACCTCTGAATATTTTTCAAATGACTTATTATAGTTCAGCATATCACTGATAATTTATTGGTTTTACTCTGTTGAACAGTTTCCCTATGGCCCTCATTAACTTAATATTTTAAATTAATTTAAAAGTTTCTCCTTTGAGGATAAAAAATATACGCCCACTACCCACTTAACTAGCAGTATGAACTGTTTCATTTCCTTTTCAAGGTTGAGAAACTATTAACATCTTTATCATCGATTCTCCAATACATATCAGCTCTTTAATATCTATTGCCTATGGGTGAAAACTCACTAAAATCAGCAGTCAGAATTACCTATTTATTTCATGCCTTTTATTAAGTTAAATGCACATATGATACAACTCCATTATATGGCAGAGGGGCATAATGGAAATAAATAGGTGATACATATTACATACTTTGCATAGAGTATATAATTTTGATATTATGGGTTACAGTAGAAGAGAGGAAGAGAGACAGGGACCATGATTAAATGAGAGAAGAACAGAATAACTGGAGAGAGATGAGGAGGGTCCAAACTGAGTAATCAGTATGGGCAATCAAAAAATTATTTAGGAAGACTCAACAGAATTTGGTGATTAAATGAATGTAGTAGTTAAAGATTAAGGATAATGAGGTTTTTGTTTTGATAGTGGGAGAGGTTGAGCATGATCTGAATGTATTTCTAGGCTGAAGAAGCAACTAAAGAAAGAAAAGTTTAAGATACAGAAAAGAAGACTTGGGCAAGACTGGTATTCAGACTACAAATAGTTAACATCTCTTCTTGAGACAAAGGAAAGAAGAATGCATTTAAATGATAGTAAGTTTGTAAGGGAAGGGGTAAGAAGTGGAAATTCATGCCACACAGCTCCCAGAGTAATATAAAGTGTTAAGATCAACTGAGAAAATGAGCATTCTCCATTTTTAAAAAAAGGGAAAGAGAATTATCTTGGGAATGGTGAAAAAGAAAGTGAAAAAAGTGAAAGTGAAGTCGCTCAGTCCTGCCCGACTTTTTGTGATTCCATGGACCGTAGCCAACCAGGCTGTCCATGGGATTTTCCAGGCAAGAGTACCAGAGTGGGTTGCCATGGTGAGAAAGAAGGTGAGGTGAAAGATGGATTGTTTTTGTTAGGAGAAATGAAAGTGGAGTGCAAAAAGGCTGAGTGCTAAAATATAAAATAATAACTCATAATGAGCCATGAGAAAGCAGTCTAAGAACTGAAGGACAGGTTTGAAGTCTAGTTAAAAATATTTGAATTAAATACAATTAACCCAAAGGAATCCTAGGAAGGGTGCATGCAATAGCATTTGTATACATGCACACAGGCTTCCCAGGTGGCTCAGTGGCAAAGAATTCACCTGCCAATTTACAAGACGTGGGCTTGATCCTTGGCTCAGGAAGATCCTCTGGAGAAGAAAATGGCAACCCACTCTAGTATTCTTGCCTGTGAAATCCCATGGACAGAGAAGCCTAGAGGGCTATAGTCCATGGGGTTGCAAAGAGTTGGACACAACTTAGCAACTGAACAACACACACACACACAGACGTCTGATCATAAGCGCTGATTCTGAAGGGTTTGTTACAAGATTTAAAAATAATAGAGGTATTATGCTTCTGTATTCTGATAACCACCCGAGAGAAGTATAAGGTAATATATGATTAACTTATTCCTGGTCTATCAATTTCTAATGACAAAAATCACAAACCCATTAGGGCACTTAATGCTCTCACAGCTGTGAATAATATTTAATCCCTCACACTACTCTAAATCCTTTTCAACTTCATTTATTTATTATACTATTCCTCTTCTGTGCTCACCTTGATCCTGCTGCTCCTGGAATGTATAATATGTAAGAAATTAATGTACATACTCAATTCTCATTTGGCCAACTCTTGTCAAACATCAGTTCCCTGTACTGCATATTAAATTTATGTGCTGTGTGCTAAGTCACTTCAGCTGTGTCTGACTCTTTGCGACCCTATGGATCATAGCCTGTCAGGTTCCTCTGTCCATGGGATTCTCCAGGCAAGATTACTAGAGTGGGTTGCCATGCCCTCCTCCAAGGGATCTTCCCAACCCAGGGATCGAACCCGCGTCTCTTTCGCCTCCTGCATTGGCAGGCAGCTTCTTTACTACTAGTGCCACATAGGAAGCCAATTTAAATTTATCCTTAGTATTAAATCTTACATACCAATAACCACACTGAAAAAGATCATACAAAGATACTAACCTGGGGCAGATGCTACATGGGTCTGCGTTTGGACTTGCTCTATAGCTTGTGGTCTAATTTCAGATAAAACTTGATGACTGGAACTTGGATGTTCGACGAGTTTTACTGCAGCCAGTGCATCTGGGCCAAACATCTGAATATCCATAGAAACCAGACACACTAACATGTCTAAAACAAATTAAAAACCAACAGTTGTTACTCAATAATTTTGTAAAACAATGACATCACTGAAAAACAGATGCTATATAAAACGCTGCTTCTCAAATGCCAGTTTATGAATCACTATACATCAGAATTATCTGTGGATCTTTAATTTTAGACTTTTAGGCTCAATCTCTGAAAACTGATTTTGAAGCTCAGGGGTAGATGTTAGATTATCTTCATTTTTAAAAACATTCCCAAGTGATTTTGATGTGTAGCCAGATTTAGGAACCACTGATATGGAAACTACATCTTTATTTCTCAATACTTTTCAAGCCAAATCTTTATTAATTCTGATTTTAGTATTTATACCAAAGAAAGAAATAATTTGAATCACTGATGAAAACATTAATGTGACATGTTTTATTAAGTGTATTTAAAACTGACAACTCACTAAGAAGGTGAGTTCATTAACAGTACCACTACTAGCACTGACCACTTGAAACAGATGGACCTGCTTCCTGGAGAGTAAGGCACAGACATCTTGTTGATTTCAAACTCAATATATAGTTACAGAAATAAAGAGAAGAAATAAAGACTACTGATAGCCACGTGCACCCTGGTCTCTCTATGATAGAAGTTTTTTTTTATTATCTAAAACAAGCAGAAAGAATAACACAAGTGTGTCTGAAAGGGTAATGATTCCTCAAAATAAAAAGTAAACCCCAAATATCAACTGTGATTTTTGTTACAGCACATTAAGTATTTTTCCTCAATAAAGAAAATTAATTTTTCTTTTTTGGTTTAGTCTTACCTATGCTCTTTTCTACTTTTGCAATTTTTGTGCAAGCTACATCTCCCATTTCTGTGAGCATATATAGCACCTCAAGTGTTGAGATTACGAGCAGCACATCAGGTAAAGTGAGATGACAAATGATCTCTCTGTATGAGTCCTGATCAACATATTCACAAATCAAAACACCATTATCTTCTGCTTTGCAAAGATTTCCCAAAATTTCCATGCCTGAAAAGCATACACACATAAACATGTATTTATCTTTTAAAACATGATACAAAGCCTATGTACTTTAGACAAGTGAGAACTTAAGTGAGTACTTACCCCTCATCTTTAAAAATCTATCCCTTGACATTAGGCATTTTGTAACAGTATGAAACATCAGGTGAGTAGTTTTGAAATCAACAGGATCCAATAAAAGCTGAAAAAAAAGAAAGGACACTACTGCTGAGAGAGGCTTCATCCAATTTATATCCAAATGCATATTTCAAATTGAATAAAAATGAATAGAACATTGTATAATTTTAAAAATGTAATGACAGTGAAAATATCTATCAATAAATCTGGAGCATCATTTCAAATATTTTTCTCCACACAACTGTCTAATACCTCTTTAGGCAAAAACTATATGTAAGCATTTAATATTCTATAATTATAGCAAATATAATAATCCCACATCCTGAAGTTTTAAAGTAAATATTCTGCCAACTATAAAAATTGTTTTAAGGTTCTGTCACATGCTTACCTCAGCTGCAATATTTCCTAATGTGTCAAGGCCTAACTGCCTTAGAGATATAAAATGACTATGTGCAGAAAGTAATAGGAAACGGAGACAGGTACGATTAGCTGCCAAGAGCTTAACATTGCCCTCCTCAAAGGAAAGATTTCTCAAAATCACTGCAATCTGAAGTACCCGTTGTCCTTCAATATCATTAATGCCCAGCTTTCGAGGTGGATGAAATAAAGATTCCCAAATCCATTCTCCTGATGTACCTTCTACAACAGAAGAAAACATAGTTTACTTAAATTGATATTGTACTTATTATTATTGATATTTCAAATTTATTTAAAAATACTTCCTCATTGACTTACCATGAGACTTGTTTCTGTCAGATATGAGGTCACGTACTTCATTATCATCAACAATGTCTTTCCAAAACTGTAATGAGAAATTATTAAACTTAATTCTGACAATTTGAAATAACTATTCTATTAGTTTAAAAATAATCACAATAGTTCTGCTATTTTCAGTTCATGTAGATATCATTATATTATATATACTTAGCTCTTTGACACAAATACTTGAATTTCTATAGTTCAAAGATATCATTTTGGCTGGGGGCCCAGAGATCCTAAAAGGTCTGTGAAAGAAATTAGCCCATCTCTAAAAAGAATGGCGTCTTTAAGTTCATTAACCTCTAACTAAAACTTGGCATTTCCTCAGCATTTTCTTCAACTCTGAATGTTAGAAAACAAACCACAGTGGTAATAGAAATTCTTCTGACACTGCCATCAATGTGAACCACAGATCACTTCATAGCTATGGAAAGTATCTAGAAAGGGTATTTATGGTCATTAGTACTCAGAAATTATGATAGTAATTAATCCCATTAATAAACTGCACACAGAAACAGTATTTCTATTTACAGATTCCTAAGACATAACTGGCTAGCTACTGAGTAAATCTATATCTAGAAGAATATAAAAAAGCAAGTAGTGGAGCATTTGTGTTTACAGATTTGTAACCCAGATATTTAGGTTGTGTCTCAGTACTCCATTTCTACAAATTATTTTTTGATCCTTATGAGAGAGGGAATAAGTCAAAATCCACTGCTTAATCTTTTTCAGGCTAAGAAACAAACACCTTTATATTGATAAATCTATACAAAATGAATTTTAGTTTTAACTTTTCTATGCCATTTAGCTCTATTATTTCTTCTGTACTAATAAAGAAGCACATGGGCTATTAGTTCACTACTTATTTCTAAATATTCTGATGTGTATTTCAAAATAACTATTTCAGTTTGAGGAATTCATAACCTGAGAAAAAGTCCACAAACAAAATGACTCAATGCAAAAAAACTCAAGATAAAAAAAATGTTTGGTAACAATAAAAAAGAACTAGGCATATAAAGGAAGAAGACAATGTTCAATAACCAAGAAAAAAGGGCCACAGGAAACTCAAATAATAAAGATATCAGAGAGGAATTTTAAATGTTCATAGAAAAAAAAGAAATAGAAGATAAGACTGAAGTTTGGCATATAAGCAAGAAACTTTAAGAAACAGATATACAGAAATTCTAGAACTGAAAACAAGAACTGAATGGACATATTTAATGAATGATTAGATTCAACTCAAATAAGAATTAGTGACTGGAAGAGATGGCAGGAAAAAATATCAAGTTAGAAGCATGAAAAGACAAAAGGATGAACAGAATAAAATCATTCAAGAAACATACAGTGAAAAGTTCTAACACAGAATTAACTGAAGTTCCTGTGGAAAAATAGGAAGAATGGGAAAAACAGTATTTGAAAAAACAGGGCCAAGAAATTTTCTAAATCAATTGAAAGATGCCAAGCCATAGACTTAAAAAACACTCGAAACTCTAAGGAAAGATAAAATGTGGAGAAGCATCATAAAAAAATTCATGAAAAGCAAAGATGAAGAAAAAATCTTAAATGCAAATGAGGGAAACAGGACAGATAACCTTGAAAAAGACAACTAAAGACAACTAAAGAGACAACGAAAGACAACTAAAATTACAGGAAACTTTGTAAAAGAAATCATGGAAGCCAGAAGACTGGGATATTTTCAAAGTCATGTACGTAAACATTTGGCAAAGTATAGAAACTTTACACAGTGAAACTGCTCTTCAACATAAAAGCTGAAATAAAGACATTTTCTGACAAATGAAAACAGAAAAATGTCATCTGCAAACCCGCACTGGGGGAAAAAAATGCATGAAAAGGTAGACGTGATTTGAATAAAAATAAATGCTGAATAAATAAAATACTTTAAAAAGTATTATGGTAAAAATAAACATAAAATTAAAATCTATGAAAAATGCTTGGAAGAAAATTTTGTTCAGGTCATAATGGTACTGCAGTAGTCATCCCATCATAAACCAACATGTATAAAACAAGTGTGTTTAAAAGAAACTGGACAAGAAAGCAATGTAAAACTATAATCACTGAAATAGGATAGGCAAATGAGGTGAGCCCAATGACCACCCCATACATTTACATAGACACTCTTTCTACATAAAGAAACGGAGATAACAAACCCAAAAGATCATCGCAATTACTAAACTGAGAAGATAAATTCTCTCCCCCTCGGCTCCCTCATATACATACATATGTGTGTATACACAGACACACCCACCCATATACCCAGCTAACTGAGCTCCAAATAAGTCCACCCTTTAAGAATAAAGATAAAACTAGTGCTGTGATGGTTAGATAGCATCACTGACTCAATGGACATGAGTTTGAGCAAATTCTGGGAGACAGTGAAAGACAGGACAGTCAGTTATGCTGCAGTTCGTGGGGTCACAAAGAGTCAGACATGACTTAACAATTGAACAAGTCCTGTATTTGTCATAACAAATACCCATACATTAATTAAAAGTATACCAGAACAATGTTCAACATTCGTGAAAGACACCAAAAACTAGACACTAAACAATGTAGTATTCCAATATCTATATCTAATGGAAAAATTATAATATATACAAAGGAAGTATGGGCTTCCCAGGTGTTGTGTGGTAAAGAATCCGCATGCCAGTGCAGGAAATGTGAGATGCAGGTTTGTCCCTTTGTTGGAAAGATCAGCTAGAGTAGAAAATGGAAACCCTGTATTCTTGCTTAGAAAATTCCACGGACAGAGGAGCCTGGCAGGCTACAGTCAATGGGGTTACAAAGAGTGGGACATGACTGAAAAACTGAGCACACACACAAAGGAAGTAGGAAACATGACACGTAACTAAGGCAAATGTGTTTTAACAAAAAAAAGACCCAGAAATAATAAAGAAAGTTAAGTCCCTCAGTCGTGTGCGACTCTTTGCGACCCTGTGGACTGTAGCCCACCAGGCTCCTCCGTCCATGGGATTCTCTAGGCAAGAATACTGGAGTGGGTTGCCACCAGGTCTCCCACATTGTAGGTAGACACTTTAACCTCTGAGCCACCAGGGAAGCCCCCCCAAAATAATAAAACTAGGAGATAAAAACTTTCAAACAACGATTATTAAATATGCTCAACAACTTAAAGGAAAATTTGAACATAATTAAGGGAAATGTGGGACAATATAAAAAAGTCAAATGGAATGTCACTGAAAAACAATATCTGAAATAAAAAAATATAATTAGATGGGTTTAATTAGAAAACAGAAAAAAAAATAACAATAGAAACTATCCATACACAGAAAACGAAAAGGTCTTAAATCAAGGAATAGAGCCACAGTGGCTTGTAGAACAGTTCCTAAAAGGGAGGAGGGGAAATAAAAAAAATTGAACAAATAATTGCCAAAAGCATTCCAAATTTCATGAAAAAGAAAAAAAAAGTTAAATAAACCCAAGCAAAAATAATCATCCTAAATGTACATGCCACTAAAAACTGGAGTTCAAAATACATGAAGCAAAAACTGACAGAATCAATAGGAGATACAAACACTGACAGGGCATATAAATAGTTGATGATTTCAACACTCAACTCTCAAGAAATAGAACAGTTATATAGAAAAACATCAATGATACAGAAATATTGAACAACACTGTCAACACTCTTTACTTAACTGTTATCAACAAATATTACATCCAAAAAACATTCTTTTCAAGTGTGCATAAAACATTCACCAGAAAGAATGTTCTGAACTATAACTGAAAGAATGTAGGCTGAACTATAAAACAAGTCTTGATTAAAAAAGAATGAAATCATATGGGATGTTCTCTGACAAAATGGAATGCAATTAAAAAGCAGTAATAATAATGACAGTAAATGATAACAATAAAAGGTAGTTTGAAAACAGAAATAAAACATTTCTATATAACTCATGAGTCAAAGAAGAAATCACAAGGGAAATAAATACAATGAACTAAACGATAATGACAACATAAAAATTGTGGGAAAATATTTAAAGTTGTTTATAGAGGTAAACAACTTTATATATTGATACAGCTTTACATATTGATACAAGATAAAAAGTCTAAAATCAATGGTCTAAGATTCTATTTAAGAAACCTGAAAAAGCAACATTGCTCAAGAAAGTTGTATATAAATAAAAAATGAGGTAATACTAATTTATTAAATTGTTACTATTATTTAGTCACTAAAATTAGTAAGGATTAAAATATCATTAATATGATCAATAAGAAAACAATAAGTGTATATAAAATCTATGTGTGCACAATAGTGAAAAATAAACAATACTCAGTCCAATCAATTAAAAAAAAGTAAGAAAGGTGAAGGACAGAAAAGAAAACCAAACAGGCAAGACATTTAGAAACCTATTCAGAACATGGTAAATTTAAACATAATTATGTATCAAAATTATACTTAAAGTAGATGGAATAAGTACACTAATTTAAAATCAAAGTTTTTCCAACTAAGAGGTAAAAGGTCCAGTGAAAGTGTCAGTTACTCAGTTGTGTCCAACTCTTTGTGACCCACATGGACTGTAGCCCGCCAGGCCTCCTCTGTCCATGGAATTCTCTAGGCAAGAATACTGGAGTGGGTAGCCATTCCCTTCACCAGGGGATCTTCCCGACCCAGGGATCAAACCCAGGTCTCCTATATTGAAGGCAGATTCTTTACTGTCTCAGCCACCAGGGAAGAAAAAAAAAAAAAAGCCCAAATATATGTTATTTACCAAAAAACTGATCTAAAATATAAAGATTAAAAAAGGTTGAATATAAAATAAGAACATATAAATATCAACCAAAAGGAAGCTGATACACACACACACACACACAGTTATATTAATATCTGATGCTAAAGCTGAAGCTCCAATATTTTGGCCACCTGATGCAAACAGCCAATTCACTGGAAAAGATTCTGATGCTGGGAAAGATTGAGAGCAACAGGATAAAGCCGTGACAGAGGATAAGATGATTGCATGGCATCACTGACTCAACGGACGTGAGTCTGAGCAAACTCAGGGAGAT